GTAACCCACCCGAATGGTATGAATGTTGTGTTTTTTAATGACGTACTGTCCTACGTGTTAAATGTTTGTTTTCCCCCCCCCCCCTTTTCGAGTTGTAAGCCGCCCTGAGTCCCCCCAGGGAAAAGGGCGGCATATAAATAAACTTCTCAAATCTCTCAATCTCAAATCAGAAAGCAAAGAAAGTTGTCCCAATTTGACACTCACCAGGTATAGGTTATTATTAATATAATCAAAAATGATCTTTATTTGCCAAGCTCTGTGTAACAATGCAATGTAATACAAGCTCTAGCAAATCCACTGCTGTGGCCAAAAATGTCAAAAGTTATCACAGTAGATAGATGTCCAAATCTGGCATCAGAATCAGGTTCCTGTCCTAACGAGGTGCAGCTCAGAAGTCTCCCAAATCCACATGCAGAAGGAGGAGTGTGGTTATGCAGAAGAAGTAGGGTGAGACTTGACACTTGTGCACCACCCAAACTTGGCAATGTCCAAACGGACTAGAGGAGGAGGCCAGCAAGGAGAAGTGAGAGAAGGACCATAGAAGGCCCGAGGAGAAGACCTCCCTTGGAGCGCTCCAGAGGTTTATGTTTCATAAGCTGATCCTCCAGATCCTGAATCTCCTTTCTGGGGAAAGAGAACATTGTCGCATTAGAAGAATATTTTTTAAACATTTGCACTCAGGACCCCTTCCCGCCTTTCAAAATCATGGAGGACTCCAAAAAAGCTTTGGTTTGCATGGGTCAAAGTTCTCCATATTTTCTGTATTACGTTAAAATGCCCGTATTTCTATAATATTTACTTATTGAATCATGCAAAAGAACAACGTAAAGTCCAATATCTAATAATATCAACATAATATTTTTTTTCAAGAGAAAAATGTATTTTTAATAATGAAAAATAATAATGAGAAAATGACACAGTTTTAAATTTTTGAAAATATTTTCAATGTCTGGCAAATAATTTTGAATTTGTGGACTCTCAAGAGGGTCTTGGTGAACTTTGAATGTATGATTGCCAATTATGCAGACTACAGTAGGTAATAGATTAACAGGTAAATGAGATGGAGACCAGGCTATTCAAGAAAGTTAGCCATGGTAATTACCCATCTGGAGACAATCTACATACCTTGGAATACCTGAGGCTAAAAAGAAGAGAGGAACATCCCCCTCTTATCTGGTTCTACATTTTCTGGTTGTCTATGAATTCCCAGCAGGGAAATTATTCAAAATTTAAAAGTGAATATATAGAATCATAATCTTGTGTTCTTACTGTTGTTGCTCCTTCATCTGTTGTAAATTGGAGAGTTGTTGCTTAAGCTGTTTAATCTCCTCTAAAGAAAGGAAACAAGAGTCACAAATTATCTTCTGCTTCTTAAACTAAGTTTATATTGCAGTATCTTTCCCCAAACTAAGTTTATATTGCAGTATCTTTCCCCCATTATCTTGCAATTTCTTTACTTTATATTCAAGCATGTTCTCTTGATATTATTGAAAGGTTGGGCTTAAACGCTTCCCTTCCAAACTTTCACACAGCATATCCAAGGTAGCACAGTGCCTCTTAAACATCTGATAAATTGGCCCAGGGATTAGAGATCTGAAGAGATACAAGTTTTGGTGCTCCAAAAGTCAAATGGTACCGGAGCCTCTCCAAGTTAATAATATCAAGGTAGAACAGGCTCAAATCAGACTACAATTCCATTTTTTTTTAAATGGGTTTAGCTGTTGCAACATTCCTTTTAGCAATATGTATAACATTCCTTTTAGTTTACGTGCAGAACTGTACCAGCCTACATGCGAAGGTGTCCAGCACAGGCTGCGCTAGCATCTGCAATATATCAATTGGCAAGCACCTCAAACGGACACAGGAATGTGAGCCGTGCGTCTATTCCTCACCACTCTCTCCCCACCTTTCTCCCCACTTTTGTCCCTGCCTAGGGATGAGGTTTTTGCCACGCTGTAACATTAGATCTTTTCTGATTTGCCAAGTATATCAAGGGCAACAAATGTAGGGCTCTGAAAAGTCGGTTTCCCTAACAGATGCTATAAGACTGGGGTTCAAAAAAGGAGTTTATTAGAGAAAGGGAAATAAAGAGAAAACAAGGGAAGGTTGCAATTGCACACATACACAAAATTCCTATTAAAGTGGACACCATCAGCTAAGCTGAACTCATTACTGCGGGGCCCTTGGTGACCTCGGAGCTTGGTTGTTTTCTTGCAGATGTTTCATTACCCAACTAAGTAACATCATCAGTGCTATTGATGTTACCTAGCTGGATAATGAAACATCTTCAAAAAACAGCCAAACCCAGAGAGCACCAAGGACCCCACGGATCAACCCTGAATTACAAATATTTTTTTCTATTGAAACTAGTTAACTACTGTTCTTCCTTGATTAAGCTCTTATGTTTCACTGAGAGATCATAGGAGAGAGGGAGAAATGTTTTGAACCTTGGGCTTAGATGTTCATAGGCCGATGTCTGTGTCCCTTCCTTGTAAATTTTTCCTGTTTTCTGAGTGTTTTTGTAGGCATAAGCTAAGCAAGCTACAGAATCTTGCCATTCAAAGGGACCTTTGAAAAATTCTTTTTTTAAAAAAAATACTATTATGTATACTGTTACATAACGTAATATACTACCACGTATAAGCGGATAGACTCAGACAACACACTGTTCGCGAAGCACGTACGTTTATAAAAGAAAAATGCATAAATAAAATATTTTTTAAAATTCTTTTTTTTTTCATTTCTCACAGTTTTATTATAATTTCATCTGTGAAAATTCAGTCTGATAAGGCTGTCATGACCCTCACTAATTGATTAAAATCTGCTTTCCTTCTGCATGCATTCCCACCATCTCTTCAAAGAGGATTGCTCTATACCCTGTTACGGGTTTGTTGTGTATATTGGTGGCATTCTTGTCAAACATGGTTGTTCCACAGCTTTATTCTCTATTAGGTAAAGGTAAAGATTCCCCTCGTACATATGTGCTTGTTGTTCCTGACTCTAGGGGACGGTGCCCATCTCCATTTCAAAGCCGAAGAGCCAGCGCTGTCCGAAGACGTCTCCATGGTCATGTGGCCAGTATGACTAAACAGCAAAGGCGCATGGAACGCTGTTACCTTCCCACCAAAAGTTGTCCCTATTTTTCTACTTGCATTTTTACGTGCTTTCAAACTGCTAGGTTGGCAGAAGCTGTGACAAGTAACGGGAGCTCACTCCATTACGCAGCGCTAGGGATTTGAACCGCCAAACTGCTGATCTTTCTGATCGACAAGCTCAGCGTCTTAGCCACTGAGCCACCGCATCCCTGATTTATTCCCTATTAGCATTTGCAAAATAGAGCCTCTGGTTCCCATAATTTAGGACATCACCCCTGTCTAATTAGTTGCAACCCCCTCTTCTTTTCCCTATATTTTCCTTTCTCCAATAAACTCCTTTTTTATTTTTTAGATCTATATAGCTGTTTTCATTGGTTTTGTTAGATAATTTCTCATTAAAAGTTTCCCTACATGCACAGGGATTACATAGTTACTCTTTCTGTTTCAGGATTGGCACTAATTAAAGCTTCCAGAAATTAAAAAGGCAAAGAACTCTCCAGTTGGACAACCTAGAGCAGAGGTGTCAAACGATTTCATTGAGGGCTGCATCAGGGTTGTGTCTGACCTCGGTGAGGGGGGGGGGCAGGGGGCATGACCAGAGTGGGTGTGGTCAGCTCGACGTCACTCATGTCAGGGACGCCTGTGGTGGCTCAAGCACTCTGCCAGCAAAACCGGGCTCCTGTTTTCAACTGCAACAGAGTTCGTGATCGTGAGTTCGCTGCACGTGGCCCTCCCTAGCTCAGTTTTCCCTGGAAGAGGCACCACAGTTGGTCCTTTGCTGTTTTTAGGGCGTCGCCACCCCATGGGCCAGATCTAAGTATGCCATGGGCCAGATCCAGCCCATCAGGGGCTGGATCTGAGTTTGACACCCCTGGCCTAGAGGGTGACATACTATCATTATTCTTATTGGGGCATCCTTGGGAGTCCATCACTACATTTTAAATTATTAATATCCCACAATAGTGGGGGAACTTTCCAACAACTTTTAATGGGGCAAATGAGCAAATTCCCCAAACCTTTGGTGGTAAATCAGCTTCATCAATGTGGTACTTAAGACTTTTTAAAATCTAAACACCTTCCCTTTATAGAGGGTTCTGCAATGGGGCTCAGAAACTGGATAATGGCAGCTCTCTCTCCAACTGAACCCCCATTCTTTACTTCTAATACTTCCCACATTACTGTATACCAGGGGTCCCCAAACTTGCCAATTTTAAGACTTCTGGGAGTTGAAGTCCACAAGTCTTAAAGTTAGCAAATTTGAAGACCTCTGCTGTATACCACCCTGCAGAATGTTAAAACCAAAACCAGGTTTTAATGAGGTGAAGGGAAGGTACCTTGCAGCTAAATTTTCTCCATTGACTAAAAAAGAGTGTCAATTAATTTTGTCTTCATAAAGACCCCAACAATGCTGCTGATTCAGGAAATGACATGAAATCCAGAATAGCAATAGCACTTAAACTTATATACCGCATCACAGTGCTTTACAGACTTCTCTAAGCAGTTTACAGAGTTAGCATATTACCCCCCAACAATCTGGGTGCTTGGGAAGGATGAAAGGCTGAATCAACCTTGAGCCGAAGAGAATCAAATTCCTGACAGTGGACAGAGTTAGCTTGTAATACTACATTCTAACCACTGCGCCGCCACGGCTCTAATGTCTTGTATGACTCAAATTACTGATAAAAATGTCACATGGGGGCAGTCAAAACATGTTCTAAGCAGGGACAAAACTTTCCCCATTGTCTTAATCTACTATCTATGAGTTCTCTTCCAAAGTTCAATCTATTATCACCCACCCTGGTCCCCACTGGTCCACCTCACCTTCAGCCACTTTGTTTTTCTCCATTTCTCGCTGGACAGCTTCCTTCACTTGGGATGTGGCGTTTTTTTCCACACTTTTCTAGATGAAGACCAAAAGGAAAGGTATCTGTCAATTCCAACATTGTTGTGTTGAACCTTCTCTTTAAGACAGGACTAGTGTTCTAAAGTAATAGTGCTGAGATGTATCAGAGCAGATCAGAATCGTGCAAGCAACAAGTATTCCCTATATAGGAGCAAATTTGGGAGTTGAAGAAACAAGAGAAAGCATATTGACACTTTTGAACTCATACTAGAAGCCTCAAGATCTTCCCTCTACAGAGGGGCTTCTGTGATTTGTAGATGCTATAACTCTTACTGACGGAGAAGGGGCTTCAGGCAACCAATGGAAAACAGTTGCATAGCGCCTCCTTCTGTTCAGTAGCATTTCTAGCACAATGGTAAGCATTTTGGATGTCTATGGAAATTCGCAGTCCTCCCTGAAGACCTCTTCAAGGAAAAACCAAAGAAAGCCCAGTTGCCTTTGGAAAAAAAGCACCTTTGAGACAATCTAAGTATTTTGTTTCTTGGAATTCTGAATGAGAAAATGGCCTGAGAGGCTTCTCGGGAAGTTATTACACATTACATGCCTGGCAGAGTTGGTTTTCTGGTGTCTATAAAGGACAGCTGAAGATTCACTTTTTTGAAATATCTGTTCAGAAAAAGTGTGTGTGTGTGTGTGTGTGTACGGGGGGGGGGGGGGGGAGACAAAAGGGCATTTTTTCAGATACCAAGAGGCCCAGAGGTTGTTTACTTGACCTTCCCTCCCACATATGCCTATTCTCCCTCCCATGACCGACTCAGTTTAATTAATTTCACCATTGTTTTAAACCTACTGAAGTTTGTACCAGGAACATTTTGAAAAACTCAAATTGTTCTGCTGAATTCTTGGAATTATGCTTGAAATCTTTCTTTCTTTCTTTCTTTCTTTCTTTCTTTCTTTCTTTCTTTCTTTCTTTCTTTCTTTCTTTCTTTCTTTCTACCTACCTACCTACCTACCTACCTACCTACCTACCTACCTACCTACCTTCCTACCGGCCTACCTACCTATCTCTGCTTTCATTTATTTTCTAACATTTCTAGAGAATTATTGATGTATACTAGGAAACCAAGAAAGAAAGAGAAAGAAA